TGCTGGTTTAGGTACAGGCTGCTGGGAAGCTCCAGGCATCTTGGCTTGCAGACCTGTACTCTGACATTTGTAGGAACACAGAACAGCTGCAGTTCTCTTTCCTGTTTGGAAAGCAGTACAGATACTAGGTGGCGACTTGTTTTCGTACTGTCAGCTTTCCTGGCCTCYGAATCTTTGATTCTTATCAGTTCAGCAATTCCTGCTTTGTATTTCAAACTAAAGACGCAACCAGATCTGCAACTCAAAWATTATTGAAATATTTGCATTTACTGGACCTACTTTAAAAGAAAGGCTTTGATATTTTTGTTTACATCTTCCAGTTCTTCAGTGTGTTGTCTTCCATCAGCCTCTTTTGGAATCAGTAGATCAAACTGAGAGATTGTGAGATTACAAAATCCAATCCCTGCTGCCAACTATATTGCAAGTTTTGTTTCCTGTACATTCTTTTGGGAATTGAATTAGAAAGAATTTTTACTAGGCATTCGATTGAAAAAAAAAAAAAACCAAACAACTTTCTTCCCTGATACAGGTATATGAAGTTTCAAAACAGCACTTGAAAGATTCACTGTCTTGTACAGTTTCATTTATCCCTGAACCCTGACACACAAATATGTAGAAGAAAAACCTTCCAATTTCCAAACCTTCATTTGACTGACCTCTTACTCTCTGTACCTGGGCCTTATTTTTGACCTTTGCTATTTAGTACTTGGCAACAAAATAAAATCAATGTTTTTTTCAGTAACGTCATCTCAACATCTTGTTTTGTGAAAGAGATTGCTAGGGCACACTTTGTTTTCCCTGAAAATGCYGAATAAAGCTTTCTTTTCAATGTGTTTAGGTGCCTAAAAGATGTAGTTGGCTGCATTTGAAAACTCTAAACTAAAAAAGAAAACTCTGAAAACTAAAATTTGAGGATTTTAGTGACTTAGAAGTGTAACTTGCACTGAATTAAGTCCAAATTAGACCTAATATTTTTGAAAATTCCAATAAAGGCACTCTTAAACACTTTTAAGAAACAGTTTAACATATTATTATATTATAATCTGCCTTTTTCATTTATTGTAAGAGTTATTAACTTCATGTGACAGSCTCTAAGTCTTTAAGAGGCTTTAAAAAAAATTACAGATAGCATTAGTTAAGAATTACTAAAAAGAAGTAAACAACCTGTTGAGTCTATTGAGGCAAAATCAGCATCCTGAATTTTATATTCTTGCTTAAAACTCGGAAGTGACTCATCAGACTGTAAACTCATTTTTCAAAACAGTACTGAGTTTGGAGTTCCCACACACTTTTATACAGTTGAAAAATGTTGATAGACACTCAAACTCCTCTTCCATCAAAACAGCAGCTGGGATTTTAATATAGGAAGAGGATACATGTGTGCCCTCTCACTAGCACACCTGAGCATGTTTATGACATGAGGTTATTCTCAGTTATGTCAAGTTTGTTGGTAGCATCATCATTATTAAAACAACCTGTTCTTTCTCAGGTTTCCAGTTCTAAGCTTACTGTKGTGCTAAGGTTCATATTGATGCATTAGTCCAAATTAACAAATAAATTTGGAAATACAACTTTTGACAGAATATTTCTCAGGGCAGATTGGTTAAACTCTACAGCCATGAAATGGAATGATCTCATGCTCACTAGCTGGGTTGGAAATAGTGCAACCACTTGTCTGGAGCACAATTTGGTTAGAGAACTATAATTAATTACATAAGACATTTGGAATAAGATTCACCAACAACTTCAATGATATTAATGCAATCTTTACGAGAAACTAGTGTAAAACAATTGTAGACTATTGCAACAGCAGCATTGGCAGATCCTTTCTTGTGAAGAAACAACTGAAATTTTTCTGTAAGTACCCCCTTGTAATACACTCCATGACAGGAAAAGCAATAAAGCTGAATAAAAAGAATAACACTATTGACAACAATTAAAAATAAATTGTACTGATGAATAAGGAAAAGTAGATTCTAAATCTTAGGCTATAAAGAATTAGACAGCAAACTAGTCTGCAAGAGGAGGATGTCTGGAATTGATATCAAYTTAAATTTGCATCTGGATCCATAAACATTCTGAGACAAAAACATTGCTGTTAGCAGCATAAAGACCAGGTAAATCTCTACATATCTGGTAGAGGTACATAGGCAATGGGAAAGAAAGAAGTAATATTGATCACCTCTCCAAGCTAATTTTAGTAATTTTCAGGAGGTTTTTTTATGATATCTGTAGAAGATACTGTGTAAAACTGCATTTAGTGTTGACTATACATACACACACACACACACACACAGAAAAGAAATATTGCAAAGCCCAATTCTGACTTTTATCATTTTGAAAGCAAATCAGACATTTATCAGAAAGAAAGCCTTCACCTGAGGGCAGGTTCCCAGGAGGGCAGGTTTGTGCTGTCAGGAGCAGCAAGAGCAGGTGCAGCTGGAGCTGTGACAAGGTGGCAGGCAGGGCAGCGACCTCACCAAGGGCACGGTCTCACAGTGCCCAAACAAACATGTAGAGCAGGGACAGTGACAGCAAAACACAGTCAACCAAAAGTCCAGGTTTCCAGACAAGTCTGCAGAGATGAGTAGGTCGGTGAAGCTGAAGTCAAGTCACTGGGTCAGGATCAGGAAGGGTCATACCAGGCACAGGCACACTCCCAGTGCCCCTCTGGCAAGGGCCCAAGTTTGAACACAGCTCCCAGCTGAAATAGAAGAGGTCACCAAGGGGGCTCCATCACAGTGCTTTCTCCAGGACAGCCYCATCCCA